GCAACGAGTCTATTGTCCCAGCCTACGTCACTGTACCATAAAAGGAACTAGTCGCGCCCTCTGTTCAATGATCCTGTCAAACCCAGAGATTCGGAGAAACAGTTGTTGTGTTCTTGTCCATTGAAAACATTTTAGTCAACCATGGGTTCGTCTTCGTCCAAACAAACCCCGAAGGAAATTGTCAAAGTCGTAGAAAGTGACGAAAGCAAAAGAATAAGACTTATCGGTCGGCTCGAAAATCAACTTGAGGAGCTCAAACAAGAGGTGATCACAGTCGAATCCGCCTTTAGGAGCAATGTCCATCACACTGTCTGCCAGGAGCAAGACGCGCTGTTGATGCGATACAGCCAGTTGACAGATAAAGAACAAATCACACGTGATATCCAAGGAATCTTCGGTGGTTTCCCCATTATGGGATTTCTCGTCGAGACGGCGACCAAGTTGGTGAGTACCATGGCTTCCTCTGATGACCTGAAGGAGATCCTTCGCTGGCAAGAGCGCATAATGGTGAAACGAGTCGGAGACAAAGTTTACGGGATAGAAGCCCACTACAAAGTCAAGGTATTGGAGGAGTCCAAGGGAACTGTGTTCAAAACCAAAGATACTGTGGTGTTGATTGCCTACAAGTGTATTGCACACGTAATGGATCTTGATCCAGCAGAGTTTCCGGATGACGACGAACACAAACAACTTACTTTCTAAGTTTTGCAACGATTCCTGCCCGGGATCTACGGGAAATTCTAACGGCATGTAAGATGTATTTCAGAATAACTGGTTGATTCAATGACTAGATCTTTTCCGCGTTGATTAATGTATGTTTTTAGTTTTATGGCTCGGATTCATTTTTTCAAAAGTTGTTAAATTAGTTCATATCAGCCCTTATCAATTCTGTATGCGACGCAGAGTATACCAGATGACCTGTACGTAGGTTTCAATCATTACTAGCTTTGGTGTGTTCGTTCTTTGTAGACAGTTGCTAATGTACATTTTTGGTTGAAAATATAGATAAATTTCGTGTTTAGTTGATATCGAAGCTTACTTACTTGCCCAGACATGTTCCGCATAAATTAAGAAGTTTCTCGCTCGCGCCACGTTATCATGCTTTGTAACGTCGTCGTATTATGTCTGCCCACTTTATGTAAATGGCTGCCCTTCAGAAAGGCTTCTATCATGCGCCCTTCACTACTGACGCTCTTAAGGCTCGTCACGCGTTCCTTCCTTTTGTGGGAGGCTAGAAATAACGAGGAATTCGAAATAACCCAGTTCGAAATAGCGGGATCCAACTGTACAGTCTTTGCTCAGGGCTATCTTGTCAGCAGTGAATCTCTAAAGTCAGTTTAACAGAGTGTGCATAGCTTTTCAATTTGTCGCAAATTCTTTCTTTCTCGTGACAGTCATGACAATAACTTTAATAATTAATCCGTAGCACATTAGATGTTATTGCCCCGACAGGGTTTTGGGCCAGAGGCCAAAACCCGAGGAGGCACCCTAGGATTTCCTGCGTGTATACATACAAGAAATTTCAAAAAAGTAAGAAATGTGTTGGTAGTTCCGAAGCGTTCCCGATTTGATGAAACTAGGCGCACGGTGGTCACGGGTAATATTTTAGCAAGCGCGCATGGTGGTGTCGGGTACATGTAATTCTTGCAACCACGAGGTCGGATTTCGCCATCTCCTAGTAGCATTGCAAGGTTCTTACAACCACGAGTTCGCGTTTTGCCATCTTCGAGCAGCATTTCTAGGTCAAAAATACACTCCAATTACAATATGGCCTGCATGACGATTTTAGTGCGATCAAATAATCCGTTTCGAAATGGCCGAGATTCTGATCTAGAACAAATAGCCCTTTTCACGGTTAGCTTTTCTCATTTGCATTGCAATATAATCTAACGTGGATGCGAGGCAATTTCGGGCTATTCTGTCGTTTTAACCCGAAATTGCCTCGCATCCACGTTAGATTACACTGTAATGCAAATGAGAAAAACTAACCGTGAAAAGGGCTATTGAAAACGATTTCAAAGATCCTGAAGACGGATTTTGGGAGAAAAACAACTCAGAAGGTATCGTAAGAAATTCTGAAGTATAATAGAAACTCGTGGCCAGTGTGGTTCAATTGCAACTAATTAGCTAAATACCCTTCCGATCGCCAGTTTTACCCTTGGTATTTCATTTATCCCCGGGGGTGGAAGCGGAATAATGAATAATGAATAACGGCTTAAAAAAATAAAATGAATGAGGAATATATAGGGTTTGGACATTCAGAATAAAGAATAATACGGTTTTCCGTAGAGAATAATGAATAATAAACCGTGTCCGACAAAGGGAACAAACGTTTAATATCAAACGTGTTGTCATCGATACCATATATGACCATATTTTCCTCATAACTGAGTTCAGTCTGCGACACCACTGTCTCCACGGTAAACATTATTTGATCTATCTTTGGCGAGCACTGTGTGGGACTGGCTAATCTTGAATACATAGTTGATGGAATTGCAACGTCGATGCGACTAAAGTTGCTCGACAAACTCGAAACGGAATCATGAATATCGAGCAAAATTGAATAAGGAATAATGAATAACTCAGAAAAAAAATGAATGGAATAATGAATTAGAGAGATCCAACTATTCCGCTTCCACCTCCGAGTTTATTCGGATCGCTTATTTGTATTGAGTAATCTTACGTGGCGTAGAGCTCATGTGACGGCTGGGTGACTTTGCGGGCATCCAAATGTAAGTGTTATGTTTTGCAGCGTTTTTGCTGCGTTTTCGCTGAGGACCGAAAGCTTAACTCTAATTTGCATATATGGTGACTGAAACGCGATGCTTCTGTTTACGCCTCGGAAAAAAATCTTGACTTCTGTTCTGCTTTCGAGATACGTTTGCTCGTATATTAAGACAAATGGTTTGTTTCAGCATCAATGTGGAATAACAGAGTAGTTTGACATAATTTTTTGTTTCGCTATAATTTTTTAAACTTTTTTCCCCATTAAGTTCTACTGAGTGAAATTTTTGTAAAAGAAACATTAGTTTGAATGAAGGCAACCTTTTTTTCAGAAAGTACTTTTTGTGTCCTTTCTAACGAGATATGGTAAACTGCTCTGCTGTAAATGCTTCGTGAGAGTATTATGTAAAGAATATCATGTGATAGAATGAATTAAGCGGAATGTGTTGGTTTAGTTAACTTGGTTGATTGTTTGGATCATATTCATGGTAAGATGCCTAAGTTACTGAAACAGTATGAGTGATATAGGTTACAAAAAAAAAAAAAATTTAATCAGCAGAAATAAAAAAAAGCGGGCGCAGCTTAAGTGATAACTATTACTAGCTGTTATTTTAGATATAGATTCGTTTCCTGTAAATAACGATAAGTTTGCATTTCATTACAGGCACTGTTCTTTATCAAGCCATTGCTTTAGAAGTAGACCGTTTGGTCACTTCTTTGCGGTTTCTTGGTTTTGCGACCTTTCGCGCTTAGACCTCCGCGACCTTTCCAAAAATCACTTGCGACTCCATGGTGCCCTTTGTTGTTTTGGTTGTCATCGCTGTCCACGTCTTCCTCAGCAGCCGTTTCACGCTTTGCAAAACTCTCTCCAGGAACAGTTTCTATGAGATACTGCCCGTAGCAGCCTCCTTGACATCGGCAGTTACAGCACCAATGCCCAGAATCTTTCCTAAACGAATGGTATTTCCTAAAAAGTGAATAATTAACAATTATTCCATAAACTTACATGTCCGTTGCACGGACGGGATAAAAAATAAACGAGGTGCATAACGCTGGACATGAGAAATTTTGATAATCACCCCGTATCCAACAAGGATCCAACGAGGCGGGTGGATATTTCAATTAGATCTAACCGAAGTGATGGCACGAAAAGGCGGGAAAATTTGTTGCGCGTTGTTCACTTTTTGAATTGAATGAAACATGTCAGAAAGAAAAAATAACTTGTCAGGAAAGCAAGTGACATAGAAATTGTTTTCTTACGAAATATTTTTCATCTAATCAAACCTCCGAAGTTGTCCGCATTCTGCAGGAAAATCGGTGACAAACGACAAAAGGTTTACGAGGGGAAGATCCGAAGAAGTGGAATTGCTAAAAAAGCAATCAACTAAGAGTTTTCTTGTTTGCGCGAAGAAATCAAGAAATCCCCCCTGTTTTATACTTCATTGAACTCGATCGATTCCGAGCAACAAATGTAAAGTATCAAATTTTAATGGAGTGCTCAGCTTAATTTTATGCCGAAAACTTGTTTAACTAACTAACCGATTTTATGTCCATTTTGGAATCTTCTCATATCATTTTCTTCTTGATTCCGTCGCTTTTGCAGTTGCACATTAACAAGTCCTTTCGTCTAAATGAAGCTATCAAACTCTAAGTGGGTAGGGGTAAACGTGATGTTTTTGGCTTTTTATAGTTTCAGGGTTGACATTACCGATTATTCCCTGTATGTTTCAGCGATAAAAAGCTTACCAATGAATCGAGCTGCTTTCAGTCATTTTTTCCTTACAGAACTTTCCATATTGTCTGCGAAAAAGTTGACGTCAATTCAAGCGACACCTCAGTGCCGCGCTCATTTTCGAAATACCGTCGAACACAGGTATATTGACTGGTAACCGAGACTCAGTGAACCAACCAGAAAGCTAGAAATATATTTACCGAGGCTTAAACTGATTGTGTAAGATGCTCTTCTGCATGTTACAACTTCAAGCCATTCCTGGTTAGCCGTGGTTGAAAAATGTACTTATTTAATAGGTCTAAAACTAAGGCCAGGTTTTGGTTCGAGTGGGACGCAGAGTATAAAAACTCAAATTTTAGATTTTATCGAACCCTCAACGATTTTAACCGATCACGAATAGGACACACTAGTAAACTATTAAACATGATTGTTATGTTTTTCAGGATTATAGACTGTTTTCACGTGATGTCACGGCAGCCATTTTGGTGTCTTAAAACCCGTGCATATCCTTATCCCAAACCAATCCTTTGGGAGTTAAAGTTTTTTTCTTATGTAAACACTATCTTTTGTTCCAATGAATTTGCATGGCTGCCGGCCACGTGAGTGAGCACTCTGCAAGTGTTCTCTTTATTTTCCTCGATTTACTTGTAATAATTACCTTAACTAACCGAATCTCGATATAGCAGGTCAATTTATCTCGGTTTTCGTAATATAAATGTTTCTTAGAATCTGCAAGATTGTTTCCAAAGTTCACTGTATCCTTTCATGGCAAACTCTTCCTTTTCGATGCAGACGTCCTAAAAATTGTAGTGTTTCCACATCTTTTTGGTGTTCTTCCATACTTCCACATTTCGAAATTTTCTGTTGAATGGTTTTTATTTCGTTTTGCATTTTCGACAATTCTTTTGGGATATTCCGGAAACGTTCCTTGAACATTTGTGTACCTTTTGCTCCTGTTTCGAAAGTTCCAAAAGTTTATGTTGAATGGAAAGCGTCCAAGGTGTTCAGAAAGTCTTAATTTGATTCCTGTAATTGGAAACCCAGGTGATCGGGTCAATCACCAGAGAGCCAATCACAATGAATTCGTTTTTTATAGTTATGATTTCTACTTCCTTGTAATAGAGTTTGATTTCGGCCCTCGGATATTCTTTCGGGCAGGGAAAGGACCTATAATCTACTGTAACACGAACCGACACAGCACGCCATAAAATTCCATGTGCTCAACTCCTTTTTATTTTCTAACCCAAAATTTTACAAATCCAATCCCCGCGCGGCGGACGCCTGGGGCATTTCTACATAACAAAAGGTTCAGTTCAATCGCCTGTCCAGCGCTCTCAGATTATTCTAGCAATTCAAGTTCTCCTATAAACTGAGAACAAAAGAATTAGTTCCATTCTTCAAAACAGAAAAAGAAAAAAAATATTGAGGGATGATCTTGTCATTAAACTCAGTTTAAAAAAAATGGGCATGGTTTAATAATTTTACATCAATTATTTCTCTCTCGTAAGAGCCGTAACGACAACTTTATTTTCGGTGGTACGTACGTTTAGAGTTATTACAGTGTTCTGGTTCATTTCAGTATTATGGTGAGCACATTTAGTTAGATTAAGATTCGTCCCTGCAAAGGACCGATCAGTATGCATGTCTTAATAATCAAGTCATCCTTTTAGAAGTACACGGCTCATCGGCTAAGCCTCAGCCTGTTTTCGGTGGAGGATTTCGCGGTCTCTTTTTTTGGCGACCTTTCACACTAAGCTGCCAGTTGATTGTTTTGATTTTATCTCTGCTCACGTCTTCTTCAGCGGCCGTTTCGCGCTTTTTAAAGCCGTCTTCTGAAAGAGATCCCATGAAATGTCCCGTAGCATCTTCCTTGGTGCCCACAATTACATCTCCGGTGCTCAGAAACTCTTGTCCTCTGAACGGGACGGCCTAAAAAATATGATAATTACATCAGAAGCGTCCTCTTAATTTGGAACGCTTTTTTGTTATAACTGGAAGTTATTTCTGGTTAGCTGAAGTTGAAAAACGTACCAATTTCACATTTCTAAAAAGAATACCAGTTTGGGTCAAGTATGAGGCTCGTCCACACTACCCCTGAGGAATTTGAAAACGCAGCTTTATTTCTACTGTTAGGCCTACCGTCCACACTAATCCGTCACGAAAACGTTCTTCAAACCGGAGGAATTTGAAAACGCAGCTTTATTTCTACTGTTAGGCCTACCGTCCACACTAATCCGTCACGAAAACGTTCTTCAAACCGGAGGAATTTGAAAACGCAGCTTTATTTCTACGGTTAGGCCTTTCGTTCACTTTAATCCGTCAGGAAAACGGTACTTTTCGAAAGCGCTCTTCACAAGGGAGGTATTTGAAAACGCCCATTTTGCGTTTTAGTATGCACAGAAAACATTTTGAAAACGAAGCGTTTCGAAAACGATGAGGCTACGCTTATCATGCATGATATTTTCCCGCCAGGGTTTAACTCAAACACAAATCCAAAGTGACTGGTGATTGTTGTGTTTTCAAAATTTATCCGATATTGTGTGGACGGAAAACATTTGAAGTGTTTTCAGAGTGAAACCTCCGTTTTCAAATTACTCCGGCGAAGTGCGGACTCAGCCTGAAATAGAAATCACATATTTCGAACAACTGAAATGTGGTAAGGGTGTCACCCCATCAAATACGCATGACACAACGTAAGTGACAAACCTCAATACACGCTGCGAAAAGAGCAAGACAAATAGTCCACTTGTGCAGCATTTTCTGAATATGCTTTGAGGTAAAGACCGCTAGGATAAGATAATAAGGCGTGAATATTAGACATGGCATATGGCAGGGTTGCCACAAGTCAGGAAATGGTCAGGGAAAAAATTATTCAAGGTCATGGAAAAGTCAGGGAATTTTCTTATGAGCTAGGGAAAATTGACATTTTGAAGAAAAGTTAGGCGAAATTGAAGTAATTTACTGCGACTTATTTAATACCATTGAAGGCTGGAAAAATCAGTTGGGATCACTGTAATCTACCCGATGTTTTCATCAGTGAAGAAGGAAAATTTGTTGAAACATTATCAGTCTCAATGAACGAATGGAAAGGACAGCTGCGAGGGGAGGTTAGTAGCCGCTACTACATCTGACATTTCATATTTATTTGGTCTGGGATATTTTAATTTCATCAGGTAAAAGTCAGAGAATTTTGAAAAGGGATGTCTGTGGCAACCATGTACGTATGCAGTCAGTTCGCTGTTCTGCATTCCGATTCAAAATCATTCTTTTAGAGCGAATTGCATAATCAGTAGAATCGTTCCATATCATGTCATGTGAAAAATTGACATCCGTCTACCATATATAATGCCTTTTATTTTCCTAATTTTCTGAAGAAGGACAGTTATCAAGACAAAAGTCAATTTAAAATCATTTTTGGCCTCGGAAGAATCCCGTGAAAGCCAAAACAAGTTTTAATTGTTTAACCAGCCTGTTTATTAAATTTCCAAATGCAGTCAATATTGATACCTATTTTAAGGAGATGAAGCTTAAAATAGTTTACCTACCTTATAATTGTGATTTTCCCCTTTAGTTGCGTTGTCGCCGAGGGTCAACAGAGTGAGTGAATCAAAAGGCACATAGATTCTAAAAGCACTTAACTTGTAAATTATTTACGAATGAATATTCTTGCGTCATAAACCATTGGCAGACTTGTTGAACCGTCATTTTATAACGTGAAATTTAGCTGACAATTTGTCTGCGACTTCAAGTTATGCTGGGAAGGGCTAATTTAAACAAAATTAAAGCACTAAAATAAAATGATGCCAGCTTTGTGTTTCTCGAGTAAACATCAACTGAAAATGTCAAACCAACCCTGCTTGTTAAGGGAAGCCTTAATTCCATTAAGCCGGTCCTCTTCCATCAAGCCTTCCTTTAGCCGGGGGATATTCTTTCGGCTATCGCGCGAAATTAAAACCAACAGTCTTTAAGAACTCACATAACTGATAAAAAGAAAACTTAGATGGAGGTTAACGTTGGTTTGACGATTTCTACAACTTATTTGAGTCCAGTTTGATCTTTTTATTGAAGGAACAAAGTGGGAATGTCTATGCCTCTAATATGGAGTTATTGTGGTTAAGGTAATTAAGGTCGACCGTTCCAATTGTAGGTCAGAAACCCTGAAGGTTTGAGAACGTCTTGTTTGATTTGTATAAAGCGCCAGGGATATTTTAACTGAATGACAGGATGTGATAAAAGGCACCGCTGCAGGTTGACCCCCAGCACGTCGTTAGGTTGCCCTTAGGCCTTCCTGGCACCCATTAACACGCCTGTGTTGAGCGAGACACTGTGAGAGTTTTAAGTGTCTTGCGTAACGCTTCAACAATTATCGCCCCCTCAACGACTCTACCGGAACACGAATAGGACACACTATTCGTAAGACACTTCGTCTCCTACCTTGTCTTATAAATTTCGGTTAGGACCCTGAATAGGTAAAAAATCCTGCCCTCAACAGGGTAGCAAATTTCAAATCCATGTAGCCCTCCTCTAGTGACAGGTTCTGATACAATTCACCACAACAGGCTATAATTCAGTAACCTAGCTCAAACACTTTTTCAGGTTGCCCTCACATTTCCCCGCCTCTAATTTACACACCGCAGTGGGTGGAGTGAGGCACTGTGAGATTTAAGTGTCTTGCTCAAAACCACAATATCGCACCTTCAATATCGATCTAGCTACTCCCGATCACGAATAGGTCAGTCGTAAAAATTACTGAACTGATAAAGAAGATGCAAATGGAAAAGCAAAAGTAAATTCAAGTAAATCTCTTCAAACCGGAGGATTTTGAAAACCGCGGCCGGCTTTTCGTTCTAGTGTGGACGGAAAACATTTCAAAAACGGCGGAGTTTTTCGAAAACGATGGCGTCACAATAATCACGTGATTTCCCTGACCGAGTTTTCTTCAAACACAAATCAAAAATAACCGGTGATTGTTGCGTTTTTAAATTCCTCCGGCGTTTTTGGACGGAAAACATTTGATGCGTTTTCAGAGTGAAACTTCGTTTTCAAATTCCTCCGGCGTAGCGTGAACGGAGGGCGTTAATTCCAGGTTTAGGTTAGAAATCAGAATGTTTTTTGTATAAACCTCTAGTTTTTTTGTGATTGAGGGTAGAGTTGTCGAAGGTGTGATAATTATCTATAGGTCTTCTTTATCCAGGTGTGTAAATGGCAACCTAGCAAAGTCTCGGGGTTAACCTGCAGCCTATCTTTCTGGTCGTTTCATATCTCATAAACTCAGTAGAGTTTCATATAAGGAAGATCTTTCGACATCTCCTATTCTGACCTACAATAAGAACGATCGATTTAAGCTTTACATTAGTCAACTCAACAGGAAAAGAATATTCAGTTAAGTTTATATTTGGTTTTTAATGTAAAGAACAAATTAGATTTAATTTGTATTAAACGGTTCTCAAGTTAAAGGCCGCACGTTATCGCTCGACAGCCGAATTGGAAACCCGAATAGCCCCCGGCTAGCGGACAGGTTAACGGAATAAAGAGATGCTTTGACAAACACAATTACTTAGATATCTTCAGTAGATATTTGAACTTAACGAAAAAAACTGACATTTTAGTTAAGTGCTTTAATTTTCTGATCAACTCAGCTGTTCGTAAAATAGAGTCGGACACAGACGAAATAGTCGGCAATATTTCCAGTTATGAAATAATGGCCATGATTTCTGATGTAAGAATATTTATTCTGTAAATAATTTACAAGTTAAATGCTTTTAAAAACTGTCTGCGGTTTGAGTTCACTCATTCTGTTGAGTCTCGATCGGTGACAACGTTTGCTCTGGAGAAAATAAGAAGGTAGGTGAACTATCATTATGTCCTTATAATTATATTATAATATCAACGTTGACTATATAAGAAACTTTTATGAAGAAGCTGGTAAGAAATTAAGAGTTGCTTTCTCTTTCTCGGGATTCTTTTGAAGTTTAAAGTCATGTGTATCTTGAAGAGGTTAGCCTAAATTTTATAAGTTCATCGTTTGTAATCTTCACCATCCTTAACCGAGCTTGTTCCTTTATGGTCTATTATTATCTTTTTGGTGTTTTTCAATCTCAGTAAGCCACTATTTTCAGGTTTCCTTCTAAAGGTAATTTTGTGGATGGCCAAAATAACTCAAAGAACCATGAGTGTGCGCTTTTAAAATATGTTTTAAATCGAATTTTTGGCTAGTTTAGCTGTCCTTCTCTGAAAGAAAACAAAGGTCAACATGGCGGACTGGTGAATATATGTCAGTCTGTCGCCGTATTGACTTTCATTCTGTTAATTTCCTGAAGAAGGTGAGTTAAACTTGAGGAAAGGTTGATTTAGAATCATTTTTAACCTCAGAGAAAATGAAGAGCAACAGAAAAGTGATTTAACTTATATGGACATCCTAAGAGGCTTTACGCCATGACATTCATTCTATGCAACCTCGTTTCGATTTCCTTCCTGCCGCTCCCGTGTGCCGTGATTTGACGCGTGTTGGTCGTGTGAAGGCAACAACTTTTTGAAGTTTGCCAAAAAATAGTTCGCCAATTTTAATTTGCCGCATGAAGGCCGATTAAGGGGACTCGCGCCCCTTGATCACCCTACTGGCTAGGAGAATGGCCAGTCACTCATCTATTTAACATCGGTCTCCAACAGGGTCCTCTCTCAACGCAGAACCCTCTAGCAATTTTTAACAGTCATAATCACCCTTTTTTAGCATTCAAAACTTTGTGTCCTACTTAGTGAATTAGTGTCTAACTTAGCAAAGGTGTCACAAAAAGACACGCTCTCCCTCTGTGAGCTTTTGACAACTGCCCGCCGGCAAACCACCATCAGATAGGCCAGTACTCCTTCAATTTAAAGTGGCAAACTGGGTTTAGACTCGGGCTTCGTTCAAATCCAAGGGAAAACATGACGGGCATCTGATGATTTGCGAAAGTGCTCAGATTTGTTTCCCTGTAAATGCACCTAAATTGTTTGCTGGATATCAAAATGATATGTATTAACTCTCTTGATTATGTATGCGATTCCTAGATGAATTTGAATTTGAGTGCAGAATAGTCAACTGATTTAGTATGTCACGTCAAGTATTAACGTAATGTGTTATTCTATTCTCTCAGCGTTTGAACTGTTTTGTCAGTGTTTCGCAGATGAATTATTTTCCTCGTCTTTCGTTCGGTTTTGGCAAATAACTGATCTACTCGCCATTGACAAACCACAGTATTTTACTCAAACTCATCCAGTTATTAACTATTCTTCTGCCTAGGTGAATAAAGCGAACACAATGTAAGTCACACTCGACAGCTGAACGTTTTTGTCAAGGGAGGCGGGGCAGATGGCACAACAAGACACCCGTTGAAACGTAACTCAATTCATTTTAATGCCTGCTTCATGTAAGACACATATAACTAGAAGGCACATGTTCAGTCCAAATATGGCAAGGCAAGCCATATAAGTAACAGGGGGCATCGAATCGAATGCGAAATCGTTATGTTTCGGTTTGTTTCTAATGTAAGAACTCTCAATTCGCGTCGCCGCGTGTTGCCAAGATCCACACTCGAACGCATTGTCAAACATTGAAAATTAAGGAAACTAAAACAAAACCCAACCAATCTAAACGCATTCAATAAACTCACCTCCATATTAAAAACAAAAATAAAACAGCTGCTAAGTGCAGACGTTTTTCCTGATAAATCGCTCGTATTTTTGCTGGTGACTAAAATTCAATCAATATCTACTAGCTACTAGACAAACAAGTTTAGGATAAAGATCTATCCATCAAGTAACTGGAATCTGAAAATAAGGCTTAATTGGTAAGTTCTATTTCAGTCGTGTCAAATGTTTACTTGTTCGACTCTCAGAAAAGTCATTGAAATTGCTTTCAAGCAGCGCAGTGCCATCAGAACCGGCAAAATAGAACATGTTGTTTCTATAGTCGCTCAATAAAGTAATACCACTGAGATCTGTGGGGCTAGCGCTAAAATTACAGTCAGCGACATTCACAAATTGGTCCTAAGATTTAATATTCGAAAACTTGAAAGGAAAACATCATCACCCAATGTGGAGCCTTCAACAATTTTTGAACCTTTGCACTGAATTTTTGAGTGTAGAGGTAAAAGAGAGGATTAAAGACAATTTTAAAACCTGCAGTTTGCCAAAAGAAAACTAGTCACTTCATTAATTTTTAATTTTCTGATCAGCCTGGCAAGACCGTTGTCGCCTTCTGTATGCTCTGTCAATTTTGTGTAAATTATCGATAGAAATTCACACGTCATTCTTATGACATGGAAACGTCGTCCAAAGTAACACTTAAAAACAAGTGGTTTTATCAATGGCAAACATACTTTTATTCGTTTTTTTTTCTCATACGAAAATTTAAATGAAAAGAAACACAATGTTACTAATGAACAGGCAGTTTTCAATGCATGATAGTTAGTCCGTCCGAAAAGAGTTAGGAAGCAGATAAAATTTTCATCACATAAAATATTATTCACATATTATTCATCATTCTGGTGCTTTCTGACTTTCGATTCCCACAACTTCCTTTAAATGAACGCGAAAATAAGGGTAACTACGCATAGTGATGAATGGCGATTTTGC